CACAATCGTCGGATCACGGCGGAAATCATAAGTATCGCTGCCTTATCTCACCCACCCTAATCCTTTCCAGTCGGGCCGATAGTGCAAGTGTCGCCACCCATCTTCGCTTCAAGTATAGAGAGAACCACGGCCCATCTCTTTCGACCTCGCAAATCCCCTTCCACCTCATAACTACTGGTCGTGAAATGTTGCCCGTCTCCGGCATCGGTCAGAGGTACGGCGTCCGTCAGGGTCTGGATCGATGTCGTGTTCCGGCCTGCCCGCAGCCCCCTTCACCGTCTCGAGCGTAAACCGAGCGCAGAGGCGGCTTTGGAAAAGGCCGGATGGCGTGATCGATGGCACCCATGCTGTACCCAAACACTGACACCTTAGCGGCGAGCGTGGTCGATGTTCACAGGCTGGGGTTTCTCCCCTCGTCGACCCGGCCCGGGAGGGTTTTCGACACCAAATGTCGTAAGAGTGAGGATACGAGAGCATCGGCAGGCATGGCTGCAGGGTTAAACCTTGAGGTACGGTCCTAGACGCTTCTTTGTTGGACGAGGAGGAAGAAGAGGTCGATGTTACGGCACAGCGTAGTCACCCAAAGCTTCGCTCGCGACAATCGCACCTGGGATCGTTTGTGCGGCCACTGAGTGGCATCTGGCGAAGCAGAGCCCGGCAGTACTTTACAGGCCATCATGCTCCAGCGTCCAGCCTCTTTATGTCGGGGCGATGAGTGAAAGCTTGGCTCGAAATCTCCGCCGCTTCCAGGCAGCCCCAAACAAGCCTGGTCGAAAAGATTGGCCCAGTTGCGGAACACAAAGGAATGATCCAGTATGTCCAGTAATCATTTCCAAGGCGACTTCATAGGCGTCGATTCACAGCTTTGAATTGATATTGTTCGCCATCGATTCCTCGGGTAAGTACTGTCAGTGGTCACTAGTGTCCCTTTTCCCGGCGCACGGAAGGGTCTCCTAATCACATCTGCAGCTTTGGCAGCTTCGCCAGATCGCAAATTCTCGGGGTAGGAGCTCATTCTCTACCCCAGAAACACTGGGTATAGCGTAATTTGAGGAATGTCTCCGAATGTAGCACGGTCTTCCTCGGAGGTCCCAAGCCAATGGTCTCCCTCTGCGAGCCTCTGCGAGGTGCATGCATACACGCTGTTTCGCGCACTCCTGATCTTCTCACACGGTCCGTGAAGCAGTTGGGAAGCTCTACCTGTTGCAGGAACCTCGATGTCCGTGAGAAGGCCGAAAGCGCTTCCGACGTCACAGGTATCGAGATCGGTAAAGATGTAGGGGTATAGAGGATTTGCGCGGAATGTGCATATGCAGATGCGGCGACGTAACCGAAAGACATACTTCTAGGTAGGTAAGGTAAAACCAGGCGCACTCGAGCAGCAGTTTCACAGAAATGATCCTCTGGGTTATATCCTGGTTAAAATGAATGGATATGGTTGGCATGGATGTTGAAAGAATAGTGGCGTAGCGCTGGACAATTCGAAAGCCGGGAAAAGGTAAATGGTGTGAGAAGAGCAGGGGTGCAATGCATGAGAGATCATGCATGGGAAATGTTGAAGATAGCCGTCGCTACTGTCTACGGTTCAGCTCCATAAAACCCTGTTCGTGGCTTGGGCTAGCTGTCCGGGAAGGCTGCTGTTTACTTCTGAGTTGTCAACGATCGTCTAGTGCCCGCAAAGAGGATTAAATCAGCGCGTGAAACAACTCGATTCATGATCTACAGCACATTCTGTACTAACCCCTTAACTTCTTTGAAGGTGAATATGGCGGTTATCGAAATTTGGGCTCCCAAGTCACGAGTCATGCTAACCCGCTTTTAGAAGTCCAATGAGTTGTTATCGATAAAGTAATTGCAGAGCTGACATTTTCCCCGAGCTTCTCCATCGGTACCATGCATGCAGAGCTGCCTCTGATACTGGGTTTCAGGTCCACGGAGGCGAGTGACTGATGATCATACTTCAAGGTGCAGCAGCATAGCCTTGATAGTGCGAGAGTGTTCTCCGTAAATAAAACATCCATGGTTGACCTTATCAGCCAATGAGGTCAACTTTTGTGGTAGGGGACCACGATGTTGCAGCACACCGACTCCCAACGTAGCGGTAGCGGAAAATCGTCGCCATTATTTTTCGGTCCTTTACATTTCGTGGGCAGCTTGAGTCTGGCTCGAAACAGAGGTATGTTGGGAAAAGTACTGCAGCATAAAGCTGGACCGTGGTGGACTCTACCCAGATCATGAAAGCATCTTCTCTGTCGGGTTATGCCGTCCGCCAACAAGTAGGCAACATGCAGTAAAGTCACGGGTATGGATGGACACGAACACAGCACTTGTGGCACCCTGATTGGTCTTCCATAGGACCATTGCATAACCGACGCGTAGCCTTGCCTCAGGACAATCAGACGGAGTACCAGAGAGCAGGAAAGGCATCGGCACCCAAGCGATGCAATGAGTTTTCTGGAATTGAACATGATGGCGGTCCATCAAATATGCCAATAAGCGGGTCATCTGGATCTGATCCTTTCGCAAACGATCCCACAAAGGATTAATCAAGCTTGGAGTAGGGCTGAAGAGCGGAGATTGACTAAGGTGCCTCAGAACCTTCTGGCGCCCAGCGGCCCAACAGTAGAAGCAGTAAGTAATTGAGTGCTGATTTTGGCGGAGGAGTCAGCCCGGTTGTGCCAGAAGGCACTCGGAGATTTGTCGGGTGAATCGGCTTTAGAGCTGCCTACACCGTTGTTATGGCCCTATGCTCCTAAGCCTCCTATGCTGGTGTGGCCTCCCGAGGTGGCTGCTAACTTCCTTTCTCTAGCTGCAGTACTGTGGCTGTGATCCCTGTCGTTTGCCGCGTGCTTCATGCACGACAGGCATGCGTTGGAATATAATCCATGGCAAGTACAGACATTCAATCGCAACCGCGGCCCAAGACTTCGCACCAGGGTCGGGAGTTGTGAAGCAGGCTCTCGATGATGCGACCCATCGGAGAGCATTTATCGGCGGACCGACCGCAGGGAAAGAGCAGCAAGTCGAACAGACTGTTGAGATTTGACCCTCGGCGCGCGATGGAAGTAAAGTAAGTAGGGAATGCTCTTGGTGTGATGGATTAGAGCAGGGCGGGATGCCGGTGGGCGTTTCCTCTCGGAACTGTCCTTAATCTCAATTGAAGCCGCTGACCAATAGGACCCGTCTGCCCCGTACATCATCTCTCGATCTGAAGCAACTCCCAGGGCAGTCCATTACCTAGTTCCATTGGCGACGGGTCACTCACCGCATGGAATGATGGAAAGGCGTTGAAAATCCGAACTCTCACGCTGACACCACGGTCCAGCCTGATCTTCCTTTCCACTTTCTTGACCGCTCTTTTGACCCTATCCAATCGCAACCGTGTGCCGTAGAATACCTTAGGTCACACCAAGGCCGCGTCTTCGAGGACAGCGAAGGATCTAAGATGGCAGTACGGCTCAAAGCGCCTTCCGGAAGACGAATATATCGATGGCATCACGATCATCATCCTCCCTTCAAGACTTTTGTTTTCGGTGACTCTGCGGTCTGCGGTAGGACTGTAGGAATGACAATCGCCACCATGGCCACCAACCCCTTTCTTTTCCCCCATTAAATTCCTAGATTTCTAGAAGAGTAAACAAGGTTCAAGAAGCCGTTGAATCCCCCAGCTTAAGGCTATGTACCCGACTCCCCCGGGAAACTTCTAGGGCCACGTTTTAGGCTACGGTACCTCACAGAACCTGTCCATGCAAGGCAGCGATGCAGCAATGGCCCCTGGAATAGGACCCGGGAATCCGTTTCGCACTAAGTTTAGCCGCTAAACTGGGGGCAATGACCAGCATGCTTTTTAGCTTCGCCTAAGCTCTTGCCAAGTGCCGGACGCAGCATGCTTCTTCCAACGTGGATCCCTTTTTTTTAAATTTTTTTTTTCCCTTCCCCCTTCTTCTTGCGGGAGTATTCATTTTCCCCCATGGTTCTTTCATCTTCTGTCACACAAAAACAAGGCGTAAATACCCATGGCCACAACAGGGAATGTCATCCCCTCTCTGCTCGCCTGAAATCGCCTTCCCCAGGCGTAATGATCCATCCCGTTAGCAAGTGGTCATGGGACATGATGACCTCAGACTCTCTTTCACTAGAGAAGTGCACAAGACAGCGAATACCGGTACCTTTCCCTTTCCACCGCCACTTCATCCTTTGTGCACCAATGGGAATGAAGCTGACGAGGTACAGCGGGACAACATGCTCACCGCACTCAAGAGGACAAGGCTATAAAGTTCCGGGTCCATATCCGTCAACCAAGTCACCTTGAGCTCATGAGCTGATGAGCTCTCTAACTTCCCCTTCCCCGTAAATTGCTATATCAAGCTTGCATGGCCGTTTCCCTGCAAGTTTATCAATTTGGTAATAAGTTTCCGCTAACTTGCCTGACTTACGCCTCCCCACGTGAGCCGAAGTGTTAGAAGATCTCATCTTTCCTCTACTCTCTCTGTTAGCCACCAAATTACTGGGTTCTATTAAAACATGAATCATTTAGAATTGAATGATCGCTCCCCTAGACCCATCTGACGTGCAGTATCCATTCCCTGGCTTCTCACCATCGACGTCCCTGCGTCGTGGCTGATCATTCCAGCCGTTTCCCTCTTCTTTCTTAACATCCCCAGAACTTCCTACAAATTGCCTGCCTTGCACACCTCTTTTTAGCTGTCAAAGCTCTTCATCACAGGCCAACATGACTTCCACTATACCAGCTCGCCGGCGCCAGCATGTCGCCAAGGCCCAAACAGCCCCGTTCCCATCGAAGCAACTTTATATCCTTGGTATGTCTCTCTCTCTCCCTTGGGGAACGCAAATCAAAGCAATCCCCGATCGAATGCCATCGGTTGCTAACACTGGGGCTCATTGCTTCATTGTTTGTCCATCATTATTGCACATTACGTATTGGCTAACATCCACCCTCCCGATTAGCATTATGTCGCATCTGCGAGCCAATCGCCTTCATGTCCATCTTCCCCTACGTCTACTACATGATCCTGTCCTTCAAGATCACCTCTGACACCCGCCAAATTGCTGTCTACGCCGGATTGGTCACCTCCGCATTTGCCTTCGCAGAGTTCTTATCAGGTGTCGCCTGGGGTCGGATCAGCGACAGGGTGGGAAGGAAGCCGGTGCTTCTTGCTGGACTGGCAGGAACGGCGCTCAGTATGCTGGTATTCGGGTTTGCTCCAAATCTACCAGTTGCGCTAGTAGGGCGAGCCCTGGGAGGATTGCTCAATGGGTAAGGACCCATCAAGCCTGCGTTCTCTCGTTGGACTTGTACCTTACGTGACATGGCAGGAATATGGGAGTTCTCCAAACTACAGTTGCCGAGATTGTCACGGTCAAGGAGCATCAATGTAAGTGGATTTCAAGATGGGATGAGCACTATAGCTCACGTCGAACAGCTCAAGCCTACGCTATCATGCCATTCGTCTGGAGTCTTGGGTACGTCGATTTCGCCTCTGACATCGGCTTGTACTAAAGTATGCTATGAAGGTCACTTCTAGGTCCTGCGCTTGGCGGAGCTTTGGCCCAACCTTGCGAATCCTTCCCTACATTCTTCGCCCGAGGCACGCTCTTTGACCAATTCCCATTCTTACTACCCAACCTTGTCTGCGCTGTCATCCTTGCTTTTGGGGTCTTGGTCGGCGTACTTTTCTTGGAAGAAACCCATGAGGAGCTGAAAGGTCGCCGAGATTTCGGTATTGAAGCTGGGAGGTGGCTCCTGGGCCATTTCCAGACCAGACCAGCAGATCAGATCATCGTGGACAAAGCTGGCGAGGCTAATCTTCAGGAACAATCCGCACTTCTAGAAGACGAAGAGCCCCCCGGATACAGAACGATTGAAGGCTCACCTTGCCAACCCTCAACCCCTTCTCTTTCTCCAAAGGCTCTGCCCGCGGATGCAAAAACGAAAGGCAAAAGACGAGTGAAGAACAAGCCGCGAGGAGTCAGGAAAGCCTTCACAAAGCAGGTAGTATTGAACATCGCTGGCTTTGGTCTTCTCGCATAGTGAGCTGATCCACACGCCTGATGCCCGCAATCTGTTGCTGACGTCAATGTAGTCACTCAATAGCCTTCGATCAGCTAATGCCAGTATTCCTGAGCGAGCCGATCTCGACAGAGCCAATATCCCTGCCATTCCGTTTCACTGGTGGTTTCGGCCTTTCGTCACAGACAATAGGCTTGATGCTATCTGTGCAAGGTGTTTATTCAATGGTCGCTCAGCTCTATCTGTTCCCGTTCGCTTCACGCCACTTTGGCTCCCTGAAGTTGTTTCGCTGTGTCTTAATGACATGGCCGTTACTATACCTTCTGGTGCCATACCTGGTCATTCTACCACAAGGACTTCAGATGCCGGGAGTCTACCTATGCCTCCTCTGGAAGATAACAGCTCAATGCTTTGCCTTTCCGTCGAACCAAATCCTTCTCACGAACTCAGCCCCTTCTTCGCTAGTTCTAGGGGTAATCAATGGCGTTGCAGCATCCTCTGCCAGTCTGGCCCGGGCTTTCGGTCCAACGGTGACAGGTCTGATCCACTCTTGGGGTCTAAAAATTGGCTTCACCGGCGTAGCCTGGTGGGCATGTGGTGTTGTCTGCATTCTAGGAGCGCTGGAAAGCCTCTGGATTGAAGCAGTGGACGGTCGAATGGACCATGAAGATGAAGAGCGTCTTGCAGATGAAGCTTTGATCGATGCCCTTGCCATCGATGCCGCCATCAACGCCGCTGAGGATCTTCAGCAATTCGAAGAGGGTGGTGTACAGATACCCAAATCAGAGTCGACGCTCAACTTCCTCTAGCATATGATTCGACGCTTCGCTCGGCAGGACCCGGGGAGGCGCAAAACTTCTTGTTTTTCGTTCATAGACGACTTGACGGCCAATCGAATCCTGTCTGCCACATCATTCTCGAGGCGGATCTCAGCACGACAGCGGATTAACAGACAGGTCAAAGGGTACGTATAGGGAGAATTATTGGCCTGGTTCAGGGAAGCGTGGGAGAAAGACTTGCTTTTTGTGCATTGTATTCGTTTGCCATCCGGATACCCCCATAGATTAGCGTTATTGCTCTTCGTATCCTGTTTTATCTAATGCTGTATGACAATATTCCATATACCAAATACCAAATCTTTCACACATTGTTGCTCTACAGTCTAAAGTACAGATCCTCTACAGGCCGGGTACTGGTACTCGTACAGTTTGACTTGGAAGTAGCGGTACCAATGCTTATAGGTATTTGTCACAAGTTTAGTCGGTTGATAGGGCGAAATGATAAGGCAAGGCTGATCAGTGATCGCCTTTATCAGTCCGGGCTTCCTTTTTAAAACGCTGCATACAAATAGAAGCTCACTAGGATCTTGACCGGGACGCTGCAAGCTTAGGACCCTGATACCCTCGCCCCATTTCCAGCATAATAAGCGTACTCTCATACATATCATACATTTTAGATATACGTATCATACATATCATCATCATCATCATTATCGTCATTCGAAACATGAGATTTGCCTGGCATGTCTTCACTTGTCAACATGCCAGCAGTGTGATTTACCTCTGTGCTATCTGTTCATCTTATCATGAACGCCGGCACTAAACGCCCCCGGGCCGAGGAAACCTACGATTACCCTGGTGCTGCCCATCCTTCATTCGTCTCCAGTACCTCGACCTTCAATACTACTTCCGCCCCTGCCAGTTCCGGCGCGAGTTCCTCCTTTCGCAACGTATCAGCTTGCAATCGATGCAGACTGCGAAAGAATCGCTGCGACCAGAATCTCCCAGCGTGCACATCATGCGAGAAAGCGGGCGTGAAATGCGTCGGATTCGACCCTATTACCAAACGAGAGATCCCTCGCACATATGTCTACTACCTTGAGAGTCGGGTGCGATACCTTGAAGAGCTTCTCAGCGACCGGAACATCCCTTTCGGACCTTCTCACGACTTCGACCTTGGCTCTAAGCCTCTGAAAGACGATTCTACAGCTCATTCACCGCTATCTGAGCGATCGAGCGCGAAGGAAAATGTCATCAAACGGAAAAGGGCAGATACCGGGAGTGAGTCGGGATCGGAATGGGAGCAGAAAGAGGAGTCGGATAAGCTGAACAAATTGGTCTCGAATATTGGCATGGTTTCAGTGCAAGGAGCTTCAGACCCGCGTTTCCTAGGTTCTACAAGCGGTATATCATTTGCAAGAGTGGTCTTTGCAGCAGTCAAGAGCTCGGTACCAGGCGGTGACAGGAGCGGTCGGGGAAGCAAGCCCAGTTCAGTGGGCTCTGCTGCTGCTACGGGTGGCACGAGTATGCGGGATTCATTTTTCGGACTACAGACCAAGCCAAACATCAAACCGGCACCTTTCCCGGATAGAGAGCTAGGATTACGCTTGGTGAACCTCTACTTCGAGCACGCGAACCCGCAGATACCCATCTTACACCGAGGCGAATTCATGGTACTATTTGGTAGAGCCTACGCAGCGAAAGAGCGGCGAAGATCAGCACGCGAACTTTATATGTTGAACATTGTATTTGCCATTGGCGCAGGTATCATTCTGGAAGATTCGTCCGCGAACCTCTCACCGAGTTCCGGAACAAAAGGATCGACACCGCCAGGCTTGAAGCAAGAACCCGCTTCCCCGAACCCGAAAAAGCAAAAATTGTCGAGCCAGCAGAGGCAGCCGGAAGAGTATCATGCCTCGGCGATGATGCACCTGGAATCTTTCCTTGGGTCGATGCCTGCAGCTGATCGGCTGGAAGGGTTTGGTGGTGGGTTGGAGCAGTTGCAGGCCGTGTTGCTGCTCGCAGGTTTTGCCTTACTAAGGCCTGTAGCGCCGGGGCTGTGGTATATCACTGGTGTTGCTACGCGGCTAGGTGTCGATCTCGGCCTTCACTACGAGGATGGTGCAGGAGTCGATGCCACTGAAGACAGCACTGGCTTCGCAAGAGGACACGACATCGCAATGGGCGGCGATCAATCAGATTTTGCACCTATAGGTCTCGACCCGAAAGAACGGGGCAGACGGGAATGGGTCCGAGACCTGCGACGTCGACTCTGGTGGTGTGTATATTCATTTGACCGCCTCGTGAGTACGTGCGTGGGTCGCCCATTTGGCATCTCGGACGCGGTCATCACGACGGACTGGCCTAGCGTTCTCGATGATAAAGATATTACTCCCACCGGCTTCTTGATACCATCACACAACTTTAGTGGACCAAGCTACAAGCGAGTTGCGCATCACTATTTCCGTCTTCGTCTCCTTCAATCGGAGATTCTGCAGGTGTTGCAATATCGGCAAGCCCAGAGGGTACACGCCAAGGATGGAGAGCGCAAAAGCCCATTCATGCACACCAAACTCTCTTGCTCGTTCCTCCAGCCATTCGAGTCGTTCCATGCATGGCGAAAGGACATTGATCGACGGCTGTGGGAATGGAAAGAGAGCGCCCCCCTCCAGCAGGATACTACAGTCCAGTTTTCTATCAAATTCTTAGAGTTGAATTACTGGCAAGCTGTCATCATGCTGTACAGGCAATCTCTTAGTGTACCGCATACTCTTGCGGGAGAAGTCGGCCCTCATCACGATGTGGAAAGCCCTATGACACCTAACGCGGACTCTTATGAAGACGAGGATGAAATCTTTCTTAAAGTTGCTGAAGCTGGTCAAAGAGTCTTAAAACTCTACCGTCAGCTACATCGAGTGCATCTGGTCAATTACACTTACCTCGCAACCGTGCATTTATTCATGGCTGGCATTGCCTTTCTCTACTCTATCTGGCACTCGCCTACCGTCCGTAGCCGTCTGGTAAGTAGCCCGAGCACCACCGCACCACCTCAGCTGACAGCCGACAGACTCTTGACGACGTCGACTTCACCGTCCTCGCAGCTACCTCCGTCCTAGGCGATCTCATCGAAAAATGCCCACCTGCCGAAGCCTGCCGTGACGCCTTTGAGCGCATGAGCAAGGCGACCGTCAAGATGTGCGTCTCAACCACCGGCTTCGGCTCTCAAGTCAAATTCGCGAAGCAAAGACAAGACGACGATTCTCCAATCCTACCACAGAATGATTTCGACCAGCGCATCCCACCTCCCTCCAGCTTCTCAACCATGGGCTCTCGACCACCACCACAGTTCGACTATGACCTCAAAAACCTCTTCACGGAAGACGCACAAAACGGCCGCATGTTCCACCGTCCGTCTCAAACCTGGCAAGCACCCCTGCTAAGCATCGCCCCAAACCAAGCACCCACATACGCCTACACGCCTTCCAACGCCTCTCCCCCATCCACGCTCTCCACGACCCCGTCAAACCCGCAACAAACCCAAATGGCACCTCCAAACCAATCTTTCGACACTTCCCTCCTCCCCACATCCTTCCCACCCAGCAACGAGATCAACAACGGCCCCTCCACCTACGACAACTTCGACTTCGACTTCCTAATGAACAACGACACCACCAACACCGCTGCCGTGTTCAGCGGCGACGTCGGTGCCAATTTGGGGTTCGATGGACAGCACGATTGGGCCGATGGTGGGGGCCAGCTGCCTGATTTGTTCGGGGGCTTCTTTTTCGGCCCGCAGGCCGGTGGGGAGGGCGGGATGGATGGCGGTGGAGGGTTTGGGGGTGCGGGGGGTGGGGGCTATCATGAGGGTATATGGAACGGACCGGATTAGATGGGGTGGGATGGGACGGTATCAAATTCGATGGCTGTAAGGGGCATTTCGCGTGGTGACGGATGATAGATATGATTTGCATTGAGTGAGGGTTCTTCTTCAAGCGGGACTAGATTGACGGGAGGTGCATTTGATACCATCAGATCGATCATACTACTCTGTTTCAAGTACCACGGACCGAAAAATGGGAAATGCAATCGTGCTTGTCACGAGCGACAGTTTACCCGCATGTTGCTCATTTGCAGACACGATATCTCTCCGCCTGATCGATCACTAATACACTGTAAATTGTATAATATTAAATATATGCACCAGAGACTAGAGCCCGGCGGAAGAAAATTACTGTCCCCTAAAGGGACTTCGACCGGTGAATCAACACACACCTCACCAAGGCTCAAGGTAGCCCGCTCACGCGCCAGAAGTCACCCGTTGCCTCCCGTATTCTGAACTTTAAAGTGCTCTGATAATCCAGAAGGCTCCTTGGTCGTAGCACTGTAGCGCGGATGTTATTGCTCCTGGCGCTGGCCCTTCCTTTGATGGGGTGGTTTGGATCACGGGTGAGTTCTGCCACCAGCGGATGATGTAACGAGCGAATGGGGATCGGTCCGAGGACTGTGCTAGAGTCACGGACGATGTGATTTCCATGTCTGCTTCCACCATTCAATCTTCTTGGCGCGAGGGTTCCGCCAAGGGCGATGCTGCGTTCGATTACTTTGGAGGCCTCCTCACAACTGGCCTTCACGTTCGACGTCGTCTTAACTAGTAGTCACGTTCCCAACGACTGACCAAGCGAGCATGTTATCAATTTTGAACTCTTTGACAGTACCATGTTGCAAGCCGTACGCGTGTGCATCCGCATTGGTTGCCAATGATCTTGACTCTCCCAGGACCGTTGAGTATTCCCCCGTCCCAAACGTCTGGGTTTGACCATCCCAAATATTAACCGCTGTCCCATTCGAGCCCGTCGATAAGACGACTTCGTCCAGCGTCACGCCTACTGAGGTGGAGCCGTAGTTGAAGGATGCTATGGAGGCGTTGGCGGCGATCATTCCGATAGGATCTGATTCTCGGGTCTCCCATTGATAGGCTGGAAAGCAGTCAGCAGATGACTTTTGGGTTTCAGGGACTGAGAATTACTCACTAGTTCCATTGAATAGCGTTGCTGTAAGGTAGTCATTTCCAAGCTGGTAGAAAATGGCTATGTTTCTTGTCACATTGCCCATGGATCGCACGTCGAGCGCAAGGCCTGTTCCAGGCACTGGGTTTGCAAAAAGTGTAGACCACAGCCACCCATCAACGGTCAAGTTTCCCAATGCCAACTGCCCAGCGGTATCCTGGTACAAAAGGAGAAGGGTTTCGGAGCAACCATTGCAGTCAAGCGCACGGTCCCAAGTCGCGGCGAGAGCTGTATGTGCGGCTGGTGCATTGGTAGGGTCAATGAAAGGCCCGCTCGTGAAATTAGTCTCCCCGTCGACTAGTTCAGGGTCGGTACAGAGCCAAAAGACAATGGTATCGCTAGCGCTGATAGCACCGAGATGTATTTGCTGCAAAGATCAGCTCTTGTCTCGGCCTGGTGGCCATTTGGCACTTACAAATGGATAGACCGCTGGACCGCTAACGACAGCAGCCAATGGAGAATTGGCTTTGGCAATGCCTATTGCACTATTCGAGAGTTGCCACAAGTTTGCGGTCGCATTCCAGGCAGATTCCCTTATAATATTATCTTCGCCCTGCCAATAAACTCGGTACTGCATGATGCCATTGGTGTCGTTCCAAGCGATCGAGGCGAGGCTAGAGGTGTTGCTTATCATTATGGGGCTGCTTGGCGGCACATTCGAGGCATTGGCGTGTGCTGATGTGTGCTTGCCCCGACGGACGAACAAGCCCACTGGGACAGCGATTACTAGGGCCATCATGAGAAGCTTCACCCCGAGCAGAATCCAGAAAGTCTTCCGTGGAATTCCACATATCGTTCGGCCTCCTTTCCAGGCACCACCCTTCTTTTCTGTAATGAGGGTCCCGAAACTGCGAGTTAACGATGCATCGGGTGCTATCGAAGAAGCTAGGGGTGAATTGTAGGGTGATAATTCTGGCGCATCGGACGGATCACTAAATAGTCGTGCTTTGACTGGTTCCAATGTAGATTCCGGCCACACCTGGAGAGATTCCTTCTCCTCAAATAACCCATCAATCCATGCCGGTGTTCTTTGTGGTTGTGGGACTACCTGCAGGGTACTGTAATATTCAGTGTTCGAGAAGTGGTAGCCATTTGGATTGACCATCCTGAAGTCTTAAGCCCTTGATGCCAGTTGCTATCGCAGAGCTCCTGGTGATGACGGACTGGGAGGACCGCGCGTTTTGAGACATGGCGGTGGCCGGACGCGTTCATGTTGGACTGTAGGCTGAGCAGCCGCTGGGGGTTCTAATTCTAAGTTTCATTTCCAAGATTGATACGCGATTGTGAATACGAGAACACAATTTAGAATATGAGCATTGGAAACTTATGTTGGATAGATAGGGCTGGTCATAGCTAGCCTTTTCTGCTTAAGTCAAGGTAAGGCCGCTCCGTGAACGTGCGGCATTGGTCAGGAGTGGACAAGAGACAAGGCGAAGCTGAGGCGGAGTAGTGGTGAAGGGTCGTCGTCGTCGCTTCATTCTTCAACAAGGAGATGTTGGATCTCAAGGCAAGATCTACTGTTATTATGCACAAGGATAGCTAGCCAGATTCACACTAGCGTACATTATGCCGATATGCACAATCGGTCTCCAGTCTCCACACTTTTGGAATTAATTCGCTGCAAAAGTCACTTGTATAGTCTACATCAAAATCACAACGCATACGTGACTTACACCGTCGCTTATGATCCTTGGACTTGGTCACAATTGCCCTCGTCTACTGAATGCAATAACCTGCGACTGGGTGCTTGCATTGCTGCACATCTCACCGCCATCATGGCAGATATCGCAACACCTGCCGCTGCCGCATTGTCTACAATAGATGCCGGCTCAGAGCCAACTCAGAAGCCTCAAAAAACGAAGCCGGAAAAGCCAGATGAACAGAAATATAAAGAGAGTCTTGGAAAGGCACAGAAGGAGCATGCAGCTGCACAAGAAAAAGTGGTACGTTTGTCAAACCCAAAAGTACCCACCCATTACCGTAATCCAATCGGCTGACGACATATAGGATGCCATCAAGGCCAAGATCGATCTCGCTCAACCTCAAAATAAGGACTCCCCCTCCGGTAAAAGGCAGCAGGAGCTCAAAACGGAACTACAAAATATACGACAGCAACAGTCTGGCTTCAAATCGTCTCGCGGTGGTATACAAGAGAAGATTGCAGGTCTTGATGCTCGATTGAAGTCTCAAATTGCAGAACAGAAGACGAAGCGAAGCCAAGTGTCTTGGAAAAACACCGCAGACATCGATCAAGAGATACAACGCCAGGAGAAGGTAGCGGAGTCAAGCAACGCAACGTTGGTCGATCAGAAGAAAGCTATAGCACAGATCTCGAGCCTCCGGAAGCAGAAGAAAGCCTTTGGTGGTTTCGATGAAGCCCAAAGAGGTATAGATAAAGTCAAGGCGGATATCGCAGAGCTCAGGAAGCAATTAGACAACCCAGAGGCCAAAGCGTTAAGTCAAAGATACGACGAGGCAGACCGGGAGCTGAAGGCTATCAAAGCTGAGCAGGACGAAGCGTACAAAGGGTTGAATTCGCTTCGGGATGAGCGAAGTAATGCATATGCGGAACAGCAAGAGAAATGGGCTGCGATGAAAGACATCAAAGACCAGTACTTCAAGGCGAACAAGTCATATCGAGACTGGGACCAAGAGCAGTACAGGATAAGGCAAGAAAAGCAGAAGGCTGAGCGGGATGCATACCAGAAAGAAAAGCGGAGAAAGATCGCGGACAAGAAATTGGAAGAGGCCAGTGAGCCTGCCTATATGGATGAGATACTGACAGCGGAGGGCCTGATGCGCTACTTCGACCCATCATCACCTGAAGCATCGAAATCGCTACGAGGTCCCAGCGGGTTTGCGGCCGAGGCACAGAGAAGCGTGGATGCGAATTCCGACTTTAAGGGGACGAGAATATCCAAGAAGGAGGATCGCGAGGATACCTACTTTATGGGGACCGGTGGCAAGAAGGGCAAGAAGGGCAAGAAGGGAAGCGTTGCTGGCTCGCCTGCACCTGGGACGCCTACGGAGGGCAAATTCAATCTGAGCATTGGCATCATTGAAGAGCTCGCCAAGGTCAATATAGAGCCGCCGATGAGCCAGGCCGGTGTGCCTAGTGTCGTTGAGAAGCTCAAGGAGAAAAGGGATCATTGGAAGAAAGACCAAGAAAGGAAGACTAAGGAGGTACGTCTTCATCCGGCTCATCCAGTTGCACTAAGCTAATCCACAGCAGAACGTTGAAAAGGCGCAGAAAGAGATCGACCGTCTCGAAGCTGAAGCTAAAGAACCCCAGCATTCGGCTCCCAGCCGGCGAACCCACGATCACGCCAGGAAGCCTGCTACAGCCAACAACTCGGTTAATGGTACTGCATCTGCTGAGACAGAGCTTGGGCAAGAAAAAGACGCTGCGGCCGATGTGACTGAGGACCTTGAGAAGGCTTCCGTTGAGGATAAGCAATAGTAATAGGCCTGTTTCACGCTACTCCGCTTTATGAGCAAGCGTTTCAATCTGGGACTCGCATGCACCGTCACTGAGCGGGTTTGATCTTCCGTTGAACACTCGAAATCTCCGACCGCCATTAGACTAGAAAAGATCCTACAAGTCCGAATCAAACTCCCCTGCGCCTGCCGTGTCATCCCGCTCATCACGAAATTGCATCCAGCATGACGCCGCACCCACCCACCCACCCCTAAATCAAAAAGTCCAAACAACAACAACAAGCCAAACTCGCCATCACCGCCGCGCATATCCCCTCCCCGGCCCCCGACCGGCCGCCCCCCCTCCCGTCCGCGTAATACCCCTGCGGGCCCCCTCCCTGCTGGTAGTACATCCCTCCCCCCTGCCCGTACCCGTACCCGTACTGCTGCTGCGGTGCGTACCCGCGGTCCTGGCCCCCGTAGCCGGGCGCGTTGCCCCCGTTGTACTGGTACGGGGTCGGCGCGCCCGTGTGGTAGGGGCCTTGTTGTTGTTGTTGTTGCTGGGTCGGCGGGTAGTAGGGTCCGGCGTCTTGGTGCGCGGGTGGGGGGTAGGCGGGCGGGGGGTATTTGGTGGACATTTTTGGGGTCGGGGTGGGGAAATGGGGGGGGTGGAGGTTGGGGTTGTTGTGGTGTGGTGACGGAGGACGGACGAGTCGAGGGTGCGGGGTGGCGGTTTGGTGATGTGGGGTTGGAGAGAGCTGGTGTGGGGGGGAGTGAGTGTTGAGGTTAGTTCGTGTGTTTTGTGAAGGTTCGTGTGTTTGATGAGGAGGGTGGAAGTTGTTTTGAGGGAGGAAGGGGGTAGGAAGGAAGAAAGTGAAGGTGCCTTGTGAGAAGTGAAGGGTCTTGCAGCCGCGTAAGTGGATCTATGGAGGTGTGGCGGAGCTCTCGGTGTTCGGGCGGCAGTGGCGGGGACGGCGGAACAAAGAACACGCTTTGCTGCCACTCTACAAATCAGGAGATGAAACATCAAGTCATATAGTAGTTTCGTCGTTTTGGAGAAGGTGGCAAATAGTGTTGACTGATTGCTGAATGGCGAGCCAAGTACAAGCCAGATACGAGAGACCGCACGAAGCAATCCGACGAAGAATATGCTCAGGGCATCGAACAGTAACGCTGGAGAAACGGCCTGGCCATTCGAGTACGGATGCTTGAATATAAAAGACGAAGACAAACATGTCAAATGTCGCTGGAGCATCGCTGAGACCACGAAACAAGCCGAATCAGGGCCATTATTGTACATGTGGATATCTGGAACGCCTCGCAAACCCCATATTTGCATCCATTCTTCCTTCATTCACAGCGTCAAAGCTGTCATCCAATCGGATTTCCTCTTCCATGACTATGGCCGTGTCTCAAGATCCGGGTATGCCCGTTCCATCAATCTTGATTGTGGGCGAAGCACTATGTTAGAGGGCGTAGAAAGCGTAGCTGCCCGTGCATCTTCGTAGAGGGCTTTTGGAAGCGTGGTTTCTGCATGTTATATTCATCTTGAGATTTCGACCCTTTCATCTCCGACTAGGCACTCTCTTGAATTTCCCATCTCCTCCACCGAGAGCTTCCGGATCAATATGCGTGAAACCCTGCGCCTTCCTACTCCTCCGCGGTGGTGGTTCGTCATGCTCTTCAATCACCTCCACAAATGCATCTTGTTGGGGTGCTGGAGGCGCTCGCCTTATTGTTTCTTCCACAATAATGGTTTCCGCCCTCCTACTCGAATTCCTTCGCGGCGGTGGCGTACGTTCTCGCGGAACCTCTTCCATCACGACTTCACTTTCAGACACACTGGATGCAACAACCGTCCGCCGTGGTGATCGCGGAGAGGACCGTCGTGAGGGTGCTCGGCGGGGGGGGGACCGGGAACGCCGGCGAATGACTTCTTCTTCCACGACCGATGAACTGCCTTGGGCCCCGCCGCCCAAGCCGAAGCATGTGTATATGAGCCAGAGGAGGAGGAGGAAGCCGGCTACGGAGCCAAAGACGATGCCGACTACTGTGCCGGGTGTGGGGCCAGAGTTGAGTCCGGAGTAAGTGGCGGGGATGATGGGGCTGGCGGTCGCTGTGACTGTAGTTTGCCGTCGGAGTAGGGATGCGAGTGTGCGGGAGAATGGTGTCGTCCTGGTTGGTAGAAGAGGGGTGTTTGGGGATAGGAGGCGTGGGGCAAGGTCGTGGAGTGATGGTAGAAGGGAACGGAGTTCGAGAGGATGTCGGAGTATTGATATCGGCGCTGCAGATGACGGGTGGAGAGGAGGCATTGTGATCGAGGTCGAGGGATGGGTGTATCTTAGAGGTGAGCTGCAAACTGCAAGTTCCTTCTGCGAGCAGCCGTCGGTTTGATGGGGCGGTTACAGTCAAGACCGAGTAATTGCGCAAATGGGGCAAATCGCTATAGTAGTAGGTAGTAAGGTCGGTAGTTCAAGTGAGTGACATGAAGTTGAAGACAGAGATGAACATGAAGAAGCAGATGGTGAATTGCACAAGAGGAAGGTGGGACAGCATGAAAGGGAATTGGGCAGCAAAGTTGCCTCATCGCCTGTGTAGGTAGTGCGTCAATGAGGTGGCCGGCTAAAATGCGCGAGGCTGGTGACGCTAAATTGCGACCAAGGAATGAGGCGAACAGCCTTGGAAACATCATCCAACTCACAGCGTCAGCTCTATTGAACTTAATATCAATTACTATTCTGTGTGAGTAGGATGGACAGGAACTGCAGTTTTCCTTGGGAAGTATAGAAGTATACTGTATACCAGAATCCCATCGCAGTTGTGGCTTCTCATGGTTGATGGGTACGAGTACTCGTACAAGCGCGCTGCAGAGCAAAGTGGGCGAACACACACAAACTTTCTTTTTTGAGCAAGGCACAAAACTTTCCAAGACGGTGAGCTGAGAGCCTTGTCAAGGCTGCTATGCATGCCGCATAGGGCCACCTTTTTCTCTTCCCTGGTTTCTGCAAGTATGAAACCCAGGATTGAAGTCGGCACGGGGGAGAGTCTCAACAAGATAGCAGCGGACGAATTCAGAAGTGTAATTCTCTCGGTTTCAGAAAAGTGGCTCGTGAAACATTCAGTAGAACTGTAGAAAGTGGAGTGTATTGTATATGCCTGGCGCCGAGCTCCGTCCATGCAGTCCTTGTGCTGTGGTGATAGCCCACTGAGCATGCAGATGAATATTATTGTACAACGAGAACAGAAGGTTATTACAATGCTGTAAAGACCCAAACATGGCTCTATCTTCAACAACAGAAGTATGAGATACTAATACCGAGTCCTGCTCTCTCGTCCTCCGTAGCCACCACGGCCTCCGCCACGATCCCCTCCGTAGCTGCCTCCACGGCCTCCGCCACGGCTCCCTCCGTAATCACCGCGGTCATTGCTTCCGCCACGGTCCACTCCGTAGCTTCCACCACGACCTCCACCACGGCCTCCGCCAAAGAGCCCTCCGGAACCACCGCGGTCGCTACCTCCGCCACGGTCCACTCCGTAGCCTCCACCACGGCCTCCGCCAAAGCTCCCTCCATAGCCACCGCGATCGCCGCCTCCGCCGCGATTGCGGTCTCCGTAAGATGGACGACCACCGTCTTCCCGGTCAGAGCCATAGCTTCCTCTGTCTCCGCCAAACCTTGAGCGCCCCTGCATACCTACATCCCTTGCATTGCCTGCGGAATTGGACTGGTAATCTTCACGACCTATATTGATACCCTGTACTCGATCGAGGCGAAGTTTCGATGCCAATGCTCGACCGACCATCGGTGGCGTCTCCATCCCCCAACCATACCTTGCGCGGTCGTTCAAAGCATCTATGAGTACCTGCTTGTTGCCATACCACTGGAAAACACCCAAAGCCGCCATGTACGATCCGGCTTTCAGCCCGCGGGGTACTATTTTCATTGCATCACCTACCGTGGTCAAAGTCTTGGCTGTGTGCTCAGGCAGCTGAGCATCTTTCTTCATGTCAACTTTGGCGGTTTCGAGAGTGCTGTCGGGTTTTAGAGGCATATTCGGAAGCTTGTGGCGGATTTCTCTAGCTTCCAGATTTGTGATGAACATCCAACCCTCGCCAGTCTTGTCTCCTCTGGCCGTCCGACCAATACGGTGGACGTACTGCTCTTCTGAGGGTGGTAGACCAACTTGAATGACATGAGTGACGTTTGGGAAATCCATTCCGCGAGCAGTCACATCAGACGAGAGCATGATTCCAGACTCTGCGCGTCGAAAAGCCTCTGCTGCTCTGGTTCGCGCATCTTGAGTGAGCCGCGCGTGCATTTCGATAATCTTAGCGGGATGCAGAGGGCCTTGGTGGAAAATGCTTTGTCCAGGGTTCTTCAGATTCTTGAGAACAGAAGCGGCAAGCGAGACATCGGCCGTAGCTCCGAAGTAAATGATAGCTTTGAACGGTCGTGTAGGTCCTCCCGTGGTATTCGCTATTGAATCAATTTCGCGTTTGCAGAGCTCGAATACAGCGGGCATGAGGTTCTCGAAGCCCCCAACATTGACTAGTTTCTGGGGTACCTTTTCGTGGGTCTGCTGTTCGCCTTCCTGCACCGTCCGAACAAATTGAAAATTTGGTTTCATGGTTTGGCGGACAACGTTCATGACTTCTCGAGGCACAGTGGCAGAGTAAAGGAGCGTCTGTCGATCGACCTGATTCCTATTGGGTAGAAGGTCTTGTATGGCTCGGATTTCAGGCGCAAATCCTTGGTCTAGCAATCTGTCTGCTTCATCTAGAACGAAACAGCTGAGCTGCGGCGCTCGGACTTGGCTGTAGGGGTCGGACAGAATGTCATTCAGTCGGCCTGGAGTTCCAACTAGGATATGACATCCTTCTGCCTTGATCTTCCTAAGCCCCTGCGATTTTGCCGAACCACCGACAGCGGTCTGTACGATGACATCTGTATCTTTTGTCACTTTCTTTGCTTCCACCGCGATCTGCTCCGCCAACTCTCTTGTCGGAGATATTATAATGGCTCTGATATGCGTAGAATCGCCGCGACGGCCAGTACGAGAGCGCTTCTCAAGCCTCGGGTCCACGTTGATAATGTTTTGGAGGAGAGGTATAAGAAAAGCAAGGGTTTTCCCCGTCCCAGTACGTGCTTGTGCTAGACTATTGACAGGATGAGAAGACTGCGGCTTGTGATGGCATTCTGATGGCTTGCTTACATATCGTGGCCCTTGAGCGACTCGTTCATGGTCAGGCTCTGTACTTGTGTCATAGTCTCAAGGCCCATGTTTTTTGTGATGGTGTCCACGACAGTTTGGCACACCATCCCACGCTCCGCCAGGTCTTTGAACTTTGTGACCGGACCATGTTGTACGGCTCGATTTATTTGGGCATCGGATTGTGGTGTCTGCGAAAAGACCTCCTGCTCAATCTCCCCTTCAATGGCTTCGTCTTCCGCCGCGACGCTGGCTGCAGCGGATCGTTTCCATTGGGAAGAGCTGCCGAACGGTCTCGCTGTTATTGGAGATATGATTTGTGGAAGGCATCGCTGTAGATCTCGTGTGTGGGCTGGCCTACTGCATCTCGAACATGTTGAGAGGAACAATAGTGATCTTGCGACAGAGGGTGTACCTCTGCGGGCAACGTTCAGCATGGGCTGGCGATGTCAAGCAAATAAGTCCGGCTAAACGTATCCACAGACTCAAGAATCGACAGCCAAGCAGGTGTCAATGCAGTTCAATGGTCAAACGCTATAGAATGTTTCGGAGTCTCCTGGTGATGATTGGAACTAGACTTTTTTTTTGCCCAGAGATACCTTAACGAGCCTTGGCCCGATCCAATTTAGCGGCTTCTGGACCCTGATTTGTGAGTTTGGACCCTACTCGGTAAAGCTAAAATAAGCGCGCTTGCGTAGAGTAAACACAGCATCCCCAGACCTTCTTTCCTGTCATCAACAACCATCCATCAACCTTTCCCCTCTCACTGCATCACCCAATTCGTTCCTCATCTCGCCAAACGAATCACCTCACCTCTCAATCACCAACCAAATAAAGCCGCACCATCACTTGTCACCCAACAATGGCACCAGCCAAGCAGGTCAGTTGTCACGCGCCTTTTCAATCCCAATCGCTTTACCCTTAGCTTTGTTATCATCTCTTCAATTATTCACTGACTTCTTTGCCACATTCTGTAGACCCCTCTTGAGAAGGCCCACGCCGTGCGCGCCGAGAAGAAGAAGACGCGCGAGGCCATCAAAGCCAAACGTCTCGCCGCATTGAAGAAAGCGCGTGATGCGAAATCGAAGGCGAAGTAGGGGAGAGGCCTGTGGGAGGGAGGATGGAGGGAGCGTATGGAGTGTCAGGGCGTTGAGACAAGGGGTTTTCTTCTTGGCTGCAGCATCTGGAGTTGGCAATGGTAAACATCTCAAACGAAGCTGGCAATGTTGAATCATGATGCGAGCGTGAGTGGAGATTGCTCGTTGCTCGTTGCTCGTTGCTGTCGTCAATAGTGTCACTGGCTCCAACACGCCTCAAAAGGGTGTCATAGCTTTCACACAGGGAATGCGCGATGGAGCTTTGACTGCAAAAGCAAATTGATACCCCACCACTTATGCTCTCAATTACCTTCACCATGACAGCAGCAGCAAATTGCTCTCTCCTGTCACTACAATAATCTTCGAAACGCTGCCTATGAAATGGCTACACTTAATACAATCAATTTTGCTGTACCATAACGTGCATTCCCCCAATCCCGCTATAGGCCCCATCTTTTGTTACCAGACATCAGGACGCTATGGAAAGATGCATGTTAGCTACACACAAACGGAACTTGGTGCGCCACATTCTGTTTGAGTCCCTTATCTTAGGGATCGTAATACGCCGCGTGATCCTGGTCTCAGCGAAGTGCTTGCGCATGCGATTTGAACGAGGCAGCTGCTTCCCCCCTGAACAAGTCCTGCTTCATAACGTCCGAGTAGGTGTCTAGCAATGTCTAATAGGACATTCAAGCATTCAGTCGGGTTTCAATGCAGATAGTGATACTAGACCGCCAGGAGCTGCAGGATCTCGTCTACCCCTGGCTTATTCGCACCCACCAGTCAAAGCTACTGCCCCTTTTCCTCCGACTCTACTTTCAATGATCCATGCTCAAAATCATTGAGTCACTACACAAGTTCATGATCGCCACAGTTGGGTCCCAACACCAAACTATCATGAACCAGTTTTTCCCAAAACCTCGACAAAGCCCGCCCGGGTACAGAGGGTAGAGGTTTTCTTCTTGGTATGAGCGATGACTCGGTCTCGTCAAGCTCCATCAACTGGCTGGTGCTGCGCGCCTGGAATATATCACTGTTGTGTTCGAGCTTGACCAAAGTATACAACCATTCGTACTGGTCATCTTCGCCGGTGGAATACTATACCTCCACCTGTCCGATGACCTTCATCGCGGTGAAAGATACAACGAGATAGTCTGTTGAGTCAATTAAGTGATGTGGCAACTTTGGCGAGTAGATCACATGAGTGTGTTGCAGAATGGGGCCTGTGGAAGGAGATGCTTAGGAAAGAGGTTCTCTGTTCGGTGACTCCTCGAAAAACATGCTCAATGATCTGGTATGACACTACCGGAGTCTCTAAATACTCATTGACTAATACGATTAGATGGTCACCGCTTGGCGTGACCGACTCCGTACAGCCGACGCTTACGCGCGCATTTCTTCCCATGGTAACGTCGACGATTATGTACATATCGATGTGTCTTTCCTTAATGCCGTCAAGTCAGGGTACGGAGGATGAAAAATCGCGGCCCGCTTCAATGCCCCAAAGTGAAATGGTGAATATCACGAATATACTGAAAAAATGCATATGGAAGTTGGTTATCTCTTTTCTTGAAATCGTTTGTTCCGGGATTCCTCAAACTTCGACTCTCTTGTTTTCCATACCGATCGTGCTGCTTGCCGTCTCCCGACCGCTCGAAATAGCTCCAAGAATTTTTTCGAAATCTTCGACGCCGACTCATTCCTCCCAAGTCCAGCCACCTCACAGCGTCCAAAGCACGGCCATTCAGTCCGGTAAATTAGCATGGAGCCTAGGGATAGGGTCATGGAGTGGAAGGTCCCTTATAGTGTCAGTGCAACTGGTGTTTGTGAACTTGGACAGGACGTGAGAGTTCTTATGTCGCTGCGAAGTTGACACGAGTGAGGGGCGAAATGAGAACGCCGTACTACTAAATCGCGTTCACTCTTGATAGACTTGAAGTGCGATGTGAACGCGACAAGATCCGGGCGGAGTGATCAGGTTACAGTAGAGCTAAGTTCGGACTGTGCCAATCAATCGTTGACCTACAGCCTACTACTGCCTCCAGACTTGTTCTCGGCGGTTCCCAGACGTGCTGCACTTGTCTTTGGGCTATTGGAAGCCCATTGCGCCACCTTGTCATCCGTATTGAGAAGAATGCTTAAGCTATAGATCTGCTTTTTTCTCCTCACCTGGCTTGAGGATGGCTTTCATAGTCTTCAACTCCTTCGCTAACTCGGATTCCGACAATTTTGTGCAAGGCTCGAATGTCAAAACCTCACGCCTTTCTGACCAGTAGCATCTTCGGTCGTATACTACGCACAACTTATTGTTCTTGTTTTCGTGTGCCTTTTTTGTTGTATGGTGTATGTTTTATTCGTTCAGAAAAACGATCCAAGTCTTTGCACGCAGTGTCTACGCTGAATGCTAATTATCCACGACAAACACTAGGTTTTAGAACCGATTTCTGAGCTCCGAGAAATGGTCCAACGGGAATCGTGGTGGCCTCGGATTTAGTACGAGTACATGGAATGACTCGAGCCGCCAAATCAGCGACACGCATTGTGCCCTTCGCGCCAAGACCCTTTATGTATGTTGATGGTCAAAGAGTCTCAAAGCTTTCTCATTATTGCGTTAGCGTTAAAAGTCCATTCTTTATGAATGAAGAAAGAGCTTGTATTTCGGATCAATAAGAATTCCTTGTCATTGTGTGGCACATAGTAAGTAAGCTTAAGTACCTATGATCCCCAGGCCATCTTGGACTTCTCAAGCGTTGCAACACCCTCAGCAAAGCAACCATCTTTGCTCCCTGCAGAATCAAGATGAACTCCAACCTCAACCTCGGACGTCAATACAGCGAGCTCGCAATCAGCGCTATCAATCTGAACGCCGAGAGTCAGGCTCAAGATAAGTCTTCCCTCTCCTACAACCGACTCTTCTATTTAGGAAAACCAGTCTCCGAGTTCTACTGCAACGCCTGCCAAAGGACCCTGGGTCACATAGCACCAGACAAATGCGACCGATGCGGACCCTTTGCTGGCAATCCGAGGTCCTTGGAGCGCAAGGCTGTCGGCTTCACACAACTTCCAAATGGGGCCATGCTGGGTAACTATCTGGTCTCGGAGATTTGAGCTGCTTGGTTAGAAGTCTTGATGAAATGAATCGACTGCGGCTACAATGGTCGCGCGTTCACATAGATCATAAGTTAGTAACACTACCGCTACCACGAATTGATTTTGATCAGGCTTCACTTTGTCTCTATTGTCCCCCTTCCCCACCAGACCCGTCGCCTGATTGACGGAACCATTGGTGCAGGCCCTTTCTTTCTCCAGTGGAAGCATTATTGGCTCGAAGTGTGATCTCATGCTTTGTTCTCGCTTTGGACCTTTCATGCTTGAACCGGACGCCACACTTGCAGCCTTTGACTGACAAACAATGCAAACAAACCTCTTGCGCCTTTGTTCCATGTTGGTAACTACCTTGTCCCTGCGCCAAATCCCTGCGCAAAGAATGATGATTATGCCATTGATCGCTTTCTTCTCGCCGGCGCTCAGCATAACCATGGAGGTTTGCCCTCAGTTTTTGTTTTCCAGAATCTCCACCTGTCTTTACAGAACTTCGGCGTGCAAATCAACGTACTAGAAATTTTATATGACGGATTTAGTATTTATAGCTTTATCACTGCACACTTTATCTTTCTTCCAAACACTTCAATTGACTGCCTCCATTTCAATTCCTACGCGCCTACCATCTACTACTTGCAACGCGACCACCACCTCACCCCAAATCAAAGCAAATCCCATTTCTACAACCACCACCACCATCACCATCGCCATCTTCCTCCCTCTCCATAGACAAACACCATGGGCCGCGCCTCACGGCAAAACGAAGACCGAGCCCTCATCGCTCAAAAGATCGAACCCAGACCCTATCTCTCAGTCTCTCCTTCCACAGCGCCATCCGAGAGGCCGATGGAGATCATCTTCTACTGCGGCCACTGCGGCACAAACCTGCCACGCGGACCTCCAGTGACGTGTTCGGTATGCGGAGCATATCGGCAGTCGCCAGCGCACAATACCCAGCCGAGGTTTCATGATTCGCAATTACCCACGAGGATGGGCTAAGGAGGTGCATCGAAGGGTTAGGTTGGAATTCCGGTCAGGACATTGTCAATGGTGCTCACAGTAGCGACGACTTCATGAAACTTCAAGCACGAGCAGACGCGGAGTCTGTCACCGGCGCACGATTCGCTGGCTCGACGGGCATAAGAGTCTGGGAGGAATGGGCTGGGAACACGGCAAGCGCGCAAATAGCAGGGGCGAGTGCATAGCAAAAAAGTAAGACTGTAAATCACATTGGTGCTGGCTGAGAAGTCATCGTGGGAATCTGACAGTGTAACTCCAGTATACAAACCACTCGTTTAATTAGCCGTGTACATTTGAATTCGGTCAATGCCCTGAGCGCTTGGTTCTGTAGAAGTTTTCATAAATATATTCAATTCCAATCGTAGCTTCATCTTGATACGCGGTTGATGAGTCCTCCAACACTTCGGCCAACCTTCACCCTACTTTACCTCATCCCACACCATCTCTGTCCACTTCCATCATCTTACCCATCTCCACCCGCCACTGGGGCCAATCATTTAGGTCTTGATCGCTATCAAGTATAGTCTGCCCGTAACGGCTGGCCAATCTGATGTACCCACAGTGTTTTCTTGAGTTTGGCCACTTTTTTACCTGTAACGATCGGCGACATGGCTTTTTCCTGGCTCAATCACAACGACTGAAACTCGAAAAGTATTAATCTTTGAAGAGTGTTGGTTGTTCACGACGTGACAATGGCTTTTATGAACCCTACATAGCATACTTCTGCATTCAGCTTTCTCGTATGTTCGTGTTGGTTAAGTTGGGGAAGTACATACTCATGGGAGCATGTCTCGAAGAAAGAAAACCACTGGAACAAAATCAAGCAGACATGCTTGCCCTTAGAAAATACATACCTATACCGATTCCTAGATCGCAAACATTTGCCGAAGAGCAAAAGACGTTATGACGTCCTAGCCTTGAAGAATGCTGCCCACTGATTCTATGCCCTGCGTGTGTCTGGACTGCAAGCCATTGCCACCCGACACCGTGCAAATTTGACTGAATTTGTATTGAGCAGAATGTCCTCCGACCATCTGTATAGTGGTTTGAGACCCTGCTCCGACATTTGGGTCCATGTGCGACGAGTCTCACCCCCATCTGACGTATCTGCGCCTTGCCAAGTCAATCACAGAATTCATTATTCCGAGGCCGAGGATTGAAGAAGGTCCCGAGGACTTGCCGTGGATCATGGCGAGCGTAGTTTTGGAAGGAGCCACGAGCTATGAGTGGATAAAAACTGGCAGGAGATGAGGTACTGATCCCGAAACTATCGATGCTAGGTGCCTCTGGACACTTGAAGACGTGAGTGACTAGCGCCGGTGCATCAAGGATGCAAATAGTGAAGAACTCCGGTTTCGCACAGAGGATAGTCAACGCAGCATTTTTCAAGGCGGCTTCGAGGTACCGAAGTTACAGCATTTGTAATTGTTGTTGATGTTCCAACGTATTAGCATACAGGTCATTGAGAAATCTATCGCATTGAAATCTTGCAAACCGTGCGAAACTCCGGTTTCGCACAGAGGATAGTCAACGCAGCATTTTTCAAGGCGGCTTCGAGGTACCGAAATGACAGCATTTTTAGTTATTGTTGATGATTGGACATACTAGTGTACACTTCTTTATAAAACCTATCGAGTCGAAACCTTGCAAATAGTGAGAACCTTCGAACTTGTACAGAGAATAGTCAAGGCAGTGCTTCTCAAAGCGGCTTCGAGACACAGAAGATTGCAATTCTTGCAGTTGTTCTTGATAACTGGATATATTAGCATTCCATTCTCGATAACCTCGTTGAAGTTACGTCTTTCCTGATGAATCACAGCCATGGGTCAAAGGATGAAGATCGCCTCCTGTCAATCCCTTTTAGATCAAGTTACACATATCTGTCGAGTACCACAGCAGCCTAGAGACCCTGTGAAAAAATTGTAGGGTAAAGACCCTATGTAATGTGATGGAATGCAAGATCAATGTCGCTCAAGCGAGCTGGCAGCGCGAAGAGTTAGTAAGTAAAGTAGACTGACGGATCACATTGAAAGTCGTTCTGAGTGCACACTGTTTCTCTGCCTCATGATGCATGTATACGCTTGGCACAAAGCTCAGGCACATCTTCAGTATCGAACTAGCAGCAAACATTGAGAGCATTCTACTGTTGTAATGATATCGCCTTTGCGAGGTTCGAAGAAGAGTCTTGGAGCTACTTGCTAACATTGATAATACTGCTTTGTAGAACAATAAAGTCTCGTGCCGGCATTTGCATCGTATGGAACAAAATCAATAACCTTTTCTTCATTTGTCAGACACTTGTCCGTACCACATGAAGCCTAGCCATTCCTTCCTTGCTCAGCAACGAAGATACCGTGCAGGAATAGTTTGTCTGGCTTTTGCTGATAGCCTTGCAAGCTTCACCGTAGAAAACTCTGACAACATCCACATCTGCAAGCTCTAGCGTCGAGGTACAGTCGAGCTCGTTAGCACGTCGTACGGATAATTACCGATCGGGACCACCGGAGTCCAAACATAACCAGAGCGTATCTCGATCGTGAGATTCCCAACCTTATCCTCCAAAAGCTTCACCAACTGTGCCAAGGCCGCGATCCTCTTCTCGAACACTGACGGGTGAGTCGGGGGCCGTACCGGCTGATCGTTCAAGCAACCGGTCTGAATTGGGACACGAGGTGTGTAACGAGCCACAATGACCAGACTCCGGAGCAACCATCCCGCCTGACCTTCATGGACATCAGCCAGCTGCTTGACGAAGCGTCTCCAACGCTGCTCCCTCTCATATCGCAGAACGTAGACATCTTGGCTTGTGTTGCCGACGTCCTTGCGCTCCATGGGCCCAATCTCCACGTGGAGGTTGCGCATGCTGCCGAGACGTTCCACGAGGATACGATCCCCATGGAGGTACTCACTGGGCGAGTAGGTAGGATCGCAGAGTGAGAGTTGAAAGGTGTTGGCGTTGTAGTAGTAGTCGAAGGCTTCGAAGTGGAGCTGGCGGCAGGCGAGGAACAAGCCGTATTCCTGGGGGCGGGTCACGTTTGCCGCTATCATGTCTATGATGTTTTCGTTGAGGAGCATGTAGGAGTAGATCTGGTGCCGGATCTCCAAGGGGAGCGTGAGGAGTGTGGTTGAGATAGACATTGTTGAGTGCTAGAGCGGTGGTCCGAATAAGTTCGATTGTATTGAAACTGTCAGAATGATGATACTAAAGCTTTGGTCTTCAACACCTTATGGTTGCAGCAGTGATGGTAGTTTCCGCTGCGCATCGGCTTGCAGGTGAGGAACAGGCTGATGGAAAGGATTTTGCAGTTCGTCGCCCAACGGATCTGTTACATGGCTGTCGATGTTCAAGTATGAGCAGTTTCGTCAATGGCCCTCGAATTCATGAATTGCATTGATGGTTGGAGCGAGCGGAGTCAAGGTACCTGATAGATTCAACACTTCGGACGCTAGGGCTTGTCACGCTAGTCTAATCGAGAGGAGATGAAAGAATTCAATTCGCCACTGGCTTTGGCGGAGTATTTTGAGAGCAGTGTTCTGATACTGGTAATAACGTGCATTCGAAATCATTGCCGACACTGCGGAGCATGATGGACTTTCTCTGTTTACTTTACTCACAAATAATCAAATCTTTTGGCGATTGTTATGGAAGTCCCGCTCCTCTTCCCACAATTTGTGCAGTCGTGCATCAAATGATCTTGGGTCCTCCCAATCGTCTATTTCTTCATCCCAAATTTCCAAGTGATCAATGTTTGTAGGGCACAACACATCTCGTATCATCTTTGCTGTGTTATTCGTTGTTTACATCAACACAAACGACGGCCGGTTACCTCTCTTCTAACATTCAGCTATTGATCGTTCCAAAACCATCCTCAACGAGCCACTAAATACACCAAACCTAGCGACTGTACATACGAATATCAGCTAATCATGCTAGTTCTCGGGGTCCACCGTAGCCCCAAACATGGCGTCTCCAAGACTTCTCAACGCTCCATCACGCTCTTGAAAGGTCTTGGCGTGGAAGGTGACTTCCGTGTCCGCAAACTCATTCAGCACCTCTGGCGATTGAAAGACCATGCATCAAGATCCAACCTGCACCAAGTGTTTCTGATCCAGTCAGAATTATTCGACGAGCCTGACTTCTATAGCAAAGATGGTATTCGCACCCAGCCAGGGCAAATGGGCAAACACGTCACCACTACCGGCATCGATCACCGGCGCTCAGCAATGGCACAAGGCTCCACTTCGTGAACAAGAAGCACACGCAGGCTGCATTCGACAGTCACGACTAGCTTGTTTTGCATGAGTCGTTTGTCCCTCCTCTTCAAGCACCTCGTCAGCAGCCTGCTACTGGAGGCTATGTTCATGGCTATGGGTTATGACACCTCCTCGTACCAACTATTCGCAGCTATTGGCGGCTGTCTGAACGAGTCGTTGTTCGTCTCTATGGTCGGCTCTTGGCCAGGTGGTAACGGTGATACCTCATCGGGCTTTGGTCGCTTCACGAGATTCAGGGCAACTGGAGTGCGATGTCCGGTGACGGAGAGTTGGCAATAGGCGTATGTACTTGGATGTTGCGCCTCGACCGCTTTTGGGGGGTTGGAAGAGATAAGGAACGGCAACATGCATAATTTGAAACAGCGAGCTTGCTCATCGACGATGATGTATGGAAATTGTGATCGATGGCGACATGAAGCTCACCGACCTCAACGTCGGAGATAGGATTGGATTGGATTTGATTGCTTCTTACTGATATCTCGCGTCGTGATCACCAGTAATGATAGATCTATGTTCCATACATTTCGACGACTCAAAAATCTTCAGAGAACATGATGTAGCATGCTAAAGCTGTCAGGCTGTGAGCAGCAGTGCCAAATGAAAGTCTAGTATCATGTCAATGCTGCTACATAAATGGCACTTAATATTCTCGTCGTAGCGTTGGCAGGAGAGAGAGTGGCAATTTGATTGGATCGCGGTCTTGATGGGTACGATCGAGTGTTCATGTTACCAAATACGCCTAGAATGAGATATCGTTTGATTGCTTCACATGACTTCAAGTTTCAAGAAGCGGTGGGGTGTCCCAGGGATCTTGTGGCGGAGTAGCTCCGAAAGCCGAGCCCCAGGTTTGAGGCCACTTCCGAAAATTCATTCGCCATCCTTTCATTCTGCAAAGAACTCCCAAGCGGGC